CGCCACCCATCTCCATTCGTTTATTCGGGCCGCAGTCCGGCCCTCCCGGTCCCTATCGCACCCATTTTTCTATAGTTAAGGCGAATAATTAGTTTACTTTTTAGTACCTCGGTTACTTTGATTCTTATTAATTGCCAACTTTAAACATTTATCATTTATGAGATATATTTAGTGACAAACCCGAGCCTGGTAGGGATATTCGTCCCAAGAGGTGAGTCCCCTATCCTTCACATAGTTGAAGACGGGCTCAAAGGGTGAACCAACTGGGCACACATCGTAGTCGAGAGCGCAGTCGAGCATCTGTTGCGGACTCAGAGGTCTGATTCCGTTTCCTTTTCGCGCCCAATAGCTCTCCACGAGTGCTGCCGTTGCGAATAGAGTGCACGAACCGCACTGACCCTATAGTCGAGTCCATAGATAGCAGTGTATTATTAAGGCATCAATTGTCGGCAAATACACACTATTTTTGGAAATATCCGGAAAACAGACTATTTTTGGCGGCAATTGATTCTATACTTTATTTTATATCAATTGATAACAAAAACTACTTTTTAGTACAAAAGTACACTATTTTGAAACATTCACTAATAAATAAAAGTATTTTATAACATTCACTAAAAGTATTTTATATAAGGTTTACAGAATATTCTTGAAAATACTGACCTGATGCTGGACGGGTCCGATCACTCCCACCGATCGCCAGTCATATGACCAACTGTTGTCGTCCTTCAGATTCTGATCTTTGTCGCCCTTTCCTTTCTTCCCTTTCCTCCCTTTCCGGCCCTTCTTGTGCCCCCCACTGACCGTCCCATTCATGCGCTTCTTCTCTTCGTTTGTCATCCGAAAGCCCGTGAACTGAGCGATGATCTCCTTCTCAGTCATGTCCGCGAATTGGTTGATGTGTGCCGTGTATGAGGACTTGCCGTTCATGGCGTCCACGTTGTGCTCAAACACTCGCAACATATTCTTCTTGAAGATCTGCTCCCTTTCCCCGTCCTCTGACTTATC